TCTAAGCATTGGAGGAAAATCATATGTGCTTGTTGTAGTTGATGACTATTCTAGATTTACATGGGTTGCTTTTCTTGCACATAAAAATGATGCACTTGATGCTTTCAAATGTCTTTATAAAAAGCTTCAAAATAAGAAAAGTTTAACTATTATTTCTATTAGAAGTGATCATGGGGGAGAATTTGAAAATAATGACTTTGAAGATTTTTGCATTGAACATGGTATTGATCATAATTTTTCAGCCCCTAGAACTCCTCAACAAAATGGGGTGGTTGAACGAAAAAATCGTACTATTGAGGAAATGGCAAGGACTATGATTTGTGAGAATGATTTGCCAAAATCCGTTTGGGCCGAAGCCGTTGCAACCTTTTGTTATTTGTTGAACAGAGTTATGGTGAGGCCTATTCTTAATAAAACCCCCTATGAAATTTACAAAGGAAGAAAACCTAAGATTTCCTACTTTAGAGCTTTTGGTTGTAAATGCTTTGTCTTGAACAATGGAAAGGACTCTCTTGGAAAATTTGATTCTAAAAGTGATGAAGGCATCTTTGTTGGACACTCTACTTCTAGTAAAGCTTACCGTGTGTATAATAAACGTACTAAAGTTGTTGAGGAATCTATTCATGTGGTATTTGATGAGACTAACCCTATTTGCTCTAGAAAGTCTTGTAATGATGATGATGTAGATGCCATTGGAAAACAAATAAAAGATATAAATCTCAAGGAGGACAACACCCAGGAAGCTCAAGATGAGAAAAATGAGGAGGACAAACATGAAGAAGTGCAACAAACACATGAGCTAAGAGAACCAACTTTCCCAAGAGGAAGATCCTATGTCAAAGGTAATGAAATTCTTGGGGATCCATCAAAAGGGGTAATTACTAGATCTCATGCTCATAATACTTGTGCTTTCATTGCCTTTATATCTCAAATTGAACCAAATAATCTTGATGATAGTCTAAATGATCCTAATTGGGTGATGGCTATGCAAGAAGAATTAGCTCAATTTGAAAGAAATAAGGTTTGGAATCTTGTTTCTAGACCTAAAGACCATCCCATCATAGGAACTAAATGGGTTTTTAGAAATAAGTTAGATGAGAATGGAATTGTGGTTAGAAACAAGGCAGGACTAGTTGCTAAAGGCTATTGTCAAGAGGAAGGAATTGATTTTGATGAGACTTTTGCCCCGGTAGCTAGACTTGAAGCAATTAGAATGTTATTGGCTTTTGCATGCTTTGAAGGTTTTACACTTTATCAAATGGATGTTAAAAGTGCTTTTCTAAATGGTTATATTCAAGAAGAGGTTTATGTTGAGCAACCTCCCAGTTTTGAAGATCCATCTTGTCGAAACCATGTTTATAAACTTTCAAAGGCTTTATATGGCTTAAAACAAGCTCCTAGAGCTTGGTATGAAAGATTAAGTAGTTTTTTGCTTGCAAATGGTTTTTCTAGAGGAAGAGTTGATACCACCTTGTTTGTGAAAAACAAAGGCCAAGATATACTAATTATCCAAATCTATGTTGATGATATTGTATTTGGTGCTACTAATGATTTTCTTTGTCAAGAGTTTTCCAAAGCTATGCAAGGTGAATTTGAAATGAGCATGATGGGTGAGCTCAACTTCTTCTTGGGACTTCAAATCAAACAATCCAAAGAAGGCATCTTCATTAACCAAAGCAAGTATACAAAGGAAATGCTTAAGAAGTTTGGTATGGAGACTTGTAAGCCAATAGCTACTCCTATGAGCACTTCAATTAATCTAGACAAGGATGAAGGAGGTAAGCCTATTGATCCCAAACTTTATAGAAGCATGATTGGTTCCTTGCTTTATTTAACCGCAAGTAGACCGGATATAATGTTTAGTGTTTGTTTGTGTGCTAGATTTCAAGCTTGTCCTAAGGAGTCACACTTAATTGCAGTTAAAAGAGTCTTTAGGTACCTAAAGGATACTCCCAACCTTGGTTTATGATATCCTAAGGGTTCTTCCTTAGACTTACATTCATATTCGGATGCGAACTATGCGGGTTGTAGGATTGATAGAAAAAGTGCAAGTGGAACTTTTCAATTTTTTGATAATATGCTCATATCATGGTTTTCCAAAAAGCAAAATAGTGTTGCTCTATCTACAACCGAGGCTGAATACATATTCGCCGCAAGTTGTTGCGCCCAAGTGTTGTGGATGAAACAACAAATTTTGGATTTTGGCATTACTATGGATCATATTCCTATTAAATGTAACAATACTAGTGCTATCAATCTCACTAAAAATCCCATTCAACATTCTCGCACCAAGCACATAGAAATTAGGCACCATTTTATTAGGGATCATGTTGCTAATGGTGATGTTGATTTATTATTTGTTGACACTAAAAATCAATTAGCTGATATTTTTACAAAGCCTCTTGATCGTGATAGGTTTTTCTTCATTAGAAATGAGATTGGTATGTTAGATCCTAGTGCTTGATATGATTCTTGAAATTAATGAATATCCTTATTAGAAATTGTGCATATTGATTACTTTGATATGTGTACCTTGATTATATTCATGATATTTGATGATGCATACATTGATATATGACTAAAGTTGCATTATTTAGTTAAATGAAGAAATATCAAATTAAGATGCATTGTCTTCCAAACAGCGCCAAACCTTTTACTTGTTCCAATCAAGGCCAGTAGAGCCGACTCAACCTTCTTCACAACCGGCTTAACCCAAAAACCCAAGAGTCTTTTCTCTCTAGAGTTAAGCCGGCTCCAAGACTAGAGCCGGCTCTCCTGCAGCTTTTTAAAATCATTCGGGTTTCTCTCTCCCCACACAAACCAGCCCAGATCTATCTTCAACCTGTGACCTCTCCTCTCCCAAAACTTGCCATTCACTCTCTCAAACACCAAAATCCCTCCAAATCTCCAAAGCCCATCCCTTAAACACTCAAGTACCATCAAATCCTTGCCTACCCAACACAAAACCTCAAGCTTTTCACTTCAATTTGTGTGGGATCTACTGTATTTTTGGTGTGGCTGCTGGGATTTCTCTCTCATGGCTTCAAGAAGGGCTAGAAGTAAAAGGAAACAAGTGGGTAGTTCTAGCACCGCTGGTCAAGCTCAAGAAGAAGGTAACATCTCCCAATCAAATCTCTTTTTGGATACCCAAGCTTCTGCAAAGTATGAAATTATCAAGAATATGGCTGTTTTGTCTTGCAATTGTGTAAAATTTAGTCAATTTCCTCAAGGAGATATGCGTGTTGAACAAATTTTTAGGGAACTTGGATGGAAGGATTATATAGAAATTAAAGAGCCTGTGTACTATAAAGTTGTTCATCAATTTTATGCTAATCTGAGACCAAAAGGGAATAAATGCAAAATTATGGTTACTGGGGTGTCATTTCAGTTTTCACAAAGGGATATTTGTGTTGTATTAGATATACCTGAAGGAGGAGATGATGAGTTTCTAGATGTGAATCATGCCTTAGTTAGAGCCACAATTGCCCCCAATTGCACTGAAAATCAAATTAAAGTGGGGTCCCTTACACCAGAAAATAGAGCATTACAGTGGACTATATCTCGCATTATAGCTCAAAGAAATGGGTCAAAATCTTTTGTACTTGCCAGTGATCTTCCTTGGTTCGACTATCTTCTTAACGAAAAAAGGGTGAATCTTGGAATATTCATTTTCCAGAGCTTAATCAAGAATTACTCCTCGGATATGGGTCTTCCGCATGGTGCATTGATCACTAGGTTAGTAAAGAGGAACAACATTGATCTTGAACCTTTTAAGCATGGGAAAATTAAAGCTGGGACCATTCTCACTAAAGCATCCTTTGAAAAAATGCAAGTTGTGTTTCAGAATGGTAGTTGGATGAAGAAAGGGGATCAAGCAATGGAACTGATACAGATCAAGAAATAGCAGAACAAAGGGAAGAAGAACATGAAGATGACAGCCCAAGACCCTTTCAAGCCTCCATGCAAAGGACAAACCGTGAAACCATGGAGCTAATGATATCTGAGATGTGGCAGCTGCACACCGACTTTTATGGTTTCCGGACAGAAATGAGAGGAAGAATGCATAACGTGGAAGGAAAGCTTGATCGACCTGTTAACCATTTTTTTCCTCCACCCCCACCTGATGCCACCTAACTTGATATTTCTTTAGTTTGGTTAATCTTTAGGATGGACATCTTAGGGTTATGCATTTTATGTTTTTATTTGACTATGGATATGTCTTGAACCTTTTTATCTTGTTTTATGAATGGAAATGGCATCACTTGTGTTATCATGCTTTGTGAATGGTTGTTTATGATTTTGATGATAATATGCTCTTATTGAGGGGGAGTTTATTGGTTGATGATTGCGTTCATGACTTTGGTTGTCTATAGTGCTATATTGATGATGATTGATGATTATATTCATTACATATTCTTGATGCTTTAAAGGTTAATAGCATGAATTAAGGGGGAGTTTATTGCTTATGTTTCTATGCTTTTTGATGAATGACAAAAAGGGGGAGAAAGTATGTTGAATTCTCATAATTTTCTGGAATGTCTTAATGTCTTAATGTCATTTTCTTGGTGTTGAAATTATGAGGTTAATATTGAAGTATATATGCTTTTATGATCAAAGTGTTTTGTCATCATCAAAAAGGGGGAGATTGTTGTACCTATGATTTTGATGATTACAAAACACATTTGAGTGACTAATTGATTTATTTAAGTGTGCAGTCAAATTGCCAATATACTGCAAAGTAAGCAAAATGAGATTGCATTAAAAAGGGGCTCAAAGGGTAAAAATATGCAGAAAGCTGGCTTAAGAAAATTGCAGCCGGCTCTGGGAAGCAAAAGTGCAGAGAGCCGACTGTAGATTTTGTTGAGCCGGCTCTACGGGCCAGAAATTCAACTGCTGTTTTGGCGTGCGCGAAAAATGGAAGCAGAGCCAGCTCCAACTTCGTAACCGGCTATGAGGGCGCATTTAATGCACAACGGTCGACTTATTTGAAGAATATTTAATGTATTTAAAGTCGAAGTTCCAAAGTCGACTCAAAGTTTTGCAGTCGACTCTCGAGAAAAACAGAATGGGGTGCAATCCAGTAAAGCCGGTTGTAGAAATGGTGAGCCGGCTGTACAAAGCCGGCTCTCCTGACAATTCTGCAACTTGAGCTTTGCGTCTTGCAGAGCATTTAATGACCCCCAACGGCTAGAAACGACTATATTCGAGCAAGGGGTTATAAATATGGTTGGTAACAGATCTGAAGAAGTTTAGAGAACATTGCATTAAATATCTTTACCTACCTACTTGAGCTTTAACTTGAGTTTTTGATCTTTGAGTGATTATTGATTGTAATCCTCTTCTTGTTTTATTAGTGAGTGATCTTGGGGGTGTGTTGATTCCTTCAAGAGTGATCTATTGAGAGGATTTGTGGGGTTTACATTGTAAATGGGTGAGGTTTGAGAGAAATACTCATCTTGTTGTAAAAGGATTGAGTGGCTCCTTTAAGCCACCCTTGTCTTTTTTAGTGAAGAGTGTGGAGGAAATCCTTGGTGGGTGAAGCCAAGGTAGAGAACTAAGCTCCAAGTGGTTGGACCGAACCTCTATAAATTCATTGTGCAAGCTCTTCTTCTCTACTCTCTTTAACTTGGGTTTTGTGGTTGAAAAAGGAGATAATTTTTGAAACTCCAATTCACCCCCCTCTTGGAGTACATTGAGTCAACATATTTTAAACAATTTGAGCCCCTAAATATTTATGTACTTCTTTCATCCTTTAACTACAAAAAATACATTTTTTCCCTTCTGTTAGTTTTCTTTGTTAAGTTTGTATAGCTAGAAATTTTTTGTCCACAAACTTTTATTTTATGCATTTTTTTGTCCATAAACTAAATTTTTTATGCATTTTAAGTTCTTAAACTGTTGTTTTATGCACTTTTAGATCATTAAAAGAAATTAAAAAATGCTAGCTAAACAAAGTTAATAGAAAAAACTAACAAAAAGATAAAAAGTGTATTTTTTTAATGATTAAAATTGTTCAAAATTAAAAATTTAATGACTAAATTTGACATTGAAAAAAATGCATAACGCTAACCTTCTGGAGTTTTATTATAATTTTGTATTTTTGAAAGTGTCAAAAAAAAATAAAAAACTATTTTCTTTTTGTTACGAGGGACTTTAATTTATGTAAGACTTTTAAATGTGTATATGTTGATTCCTAATTTATATATACAAAAAAAGCTGTGCATATTAGTTATTAACTCTTTAAAAAAATTAGAGTTTTATCTTCAGAAACTTTAATTTTAATCAATATTTTGAAAAATTATTGGTGGATCAAATGATTGATATATTAATATGTAAATGGACTTCGGTTTTCAACCAGTCTATCCCAATTTGGTTTGGGTACAAAATCATTAACGGGTCCTGATCTTGGGTTTGATTGTGTTAATCTTGGGCCTTGGGCCTATCTAAAATACACTCAGCCCAATAAAAGCCAGCTTGATGTCCATCAGTAGTAGATGGTCTCAGTAGGAATTTGTTTCATATTTTCGGAAACAATTATTAATTATTGACTTCAAGTGACTGGATTACATTATTTAAATTATAAACAATAACTACTATCAACTATTAGTTATATCACAATTAATCCAAACAAGGGATATCACTCTTCTTTCTGAATCCCTGCTCAGTTATCACACAATCTAAACTCAAAACTTCTAATAGTAAAAAATTGAAACTCAAACAACAAAAATGCCCCGGAATAACATTGATTTAATTTTGTTGATTGATTCTATAAAAAAAAAAATTATTTGCTTGATAGAATAATGCCGCTTAAAAATTTAATTAATTTTATTGAAATTAACGGAGAATAATGTATTTCTCCACCATAGATACAATTACAAAGCAACTAAAAAACTTACAATGTGCGGAAAGATAAGGTTATGACATAGAAAATGACATTTTCCAAATTAGGATAAAATTAACAAAAAAAGAGGCAATATTTTGTGGAGACAATGCATCTAATCCATTAAGAATTAAAACATTAGATGTCTTGATTTATTCCAATTTCCAAACATAAAATATGTAAAATGGAAAGAAGAAGATAAGCGAAAGAGAAAAATGGCATTAGTTTGCCCGAGAAACGAGGGCTACACCTCCTAAGAAGCAACACCCGAGAAACAAGCCAACACAGCAATCGGAGAACAAAACATAGAATTTTTTTCCAACATGCTGAAAAATTTCACCACCACACAATTATTAGAAGCTTAATTAGTTTGACAACTTCTAAGGTGACGACAAAAGAAGATGTAGAATTTAGATGGATCTTCAAGGGTTTTTATAGGAATTGATTTGGTTGAACCATCTAGAGCACCTTGCCAAAATGCCCTACAAATTGTTATTTCATCATTGTTTGGTTTATTGTTTAGTTGGTCAAATATTGTATTATTATCTACATTGGTATAAAGAATTATATAGACATGTGAAAAAATTGATAATATATATATTTTTTGATACATCTGATTATGGATGATTATACAAGAGGGGATAATTCTCCGTTATTCTCAAATCTTTCCTCATCCGATTTAAGGCATGAATTTGATATCTTTAATTTAGAGTTTCAAATTCTTAACCATTAAGTCATCTTATTTGGAGTTTAATATATAGATATATATATTAGAGTTTCAAGTTTTTAACCGTTAAGTCACCTCATTTGGAGTTTAATATATATATATATATATATTGAATGTTGGCAAACTAAGAGGTCAATAATTATGCTAAAAATATTAATTTTACTATATTTTTGAGTTAGAGATACGAAGTATCAAAGTTAGAATAGATTTAAATCTATATGAACTAGAGAATGCTTCGATTTACTAATAAAATAATATTTTTTTTACTAAAAAATGACTAAGAATCAAAACTATCTCTTAAAAAATGGCCATAAACTGGCACACATGAAATGCAACCACTAACAAGAAAAATTTGAATTTTAATTCAAACCATATGTTTGGCAGAGCCAGAGCAATGATAAAGTATGGTAACACCTTTTATGCTTAGGTCATTATTATTGTCCAATGAATTTAGGCAACATTTGTTATTGGAATAATTAATTTTTTTATGATTAATAGAATAGAGATGAATTAACTTTTGGTAAATCACTAATCCATATTTATATAAAGTTCAATCTTCCTTACATGATTGGTAATTTTCTCACACTAATTTTTTTGAAACTAATACAAATTAAATTGTCACAATGTCTCTGAGATATATAAAAAAAAAAAAAGGATTTGTCTTGTTCTTCGACCAAAGGTCCATTCAATTTATCGTCATCGTCATCATCAACACATGCTTGTCACACTTTCCTTGCTGGTCAGCTTCAAAGTAAACTTGGTGAATCACTAAACCAATATTAGATGAAACTGCAAACCTTCATTTATCCTGTTTCAGATGAAAATCCATGGTTAACTATAAGGAATAATTTCTAAAATCATTATACATTAATTTAGAGACTTGAAATAAAAAGATTGAAGAAAAATCTCATGCCCTTATTTTTTTTTCCTGGTAATCTCTATATTGTACCTATTCCAAATTTAAATGTACTTCCATTCTAAGATTTGGTAATTCTAAATTTTAAGGTTTCGACTTTCTCACTAAATTTTGTCATACACGGCTAACCCAATTGTTTGAAGAATAGCTATTACTCAAATATACTGAAATAGAACATGTGAGGGTTTTGTCACTTGAACTAATGAAAATAATTTCAAATGTTTTAGGAAAGTTAATTGAAAATAAAATAAAATATTCTTAGTTAAGATACCGTAAATGACATGGAAGTATTTCAAAAAGAAGTAATGAAAGTTATGAATGTTACCTTCTGGGCATCCTATTCTGCATTTCTCGACCTGAAACAACTCTTGTAAAAACTCGAAACTTTCCCCAAGGTTTTGTTGTTTCTGCTATATAAGACCGCTAAAATGGGTCATAACTTCTGGTAAATCACTAATCCGATGTATATTGTCTTGAAACTTCATTACCCCAGTATTCGTAACAATTATTGATATCCCATAGAGATGCATTTTGTAGAGAACAAGTACTCGTACTTGTCTCTCAAAACTAAATGGATGCGATTCTAATGCAGTAATCATATTAGAATATAACTTCAATACACACTTATCATTGGAAACTCAATACTAGAACAAGAAGCTCATCACCAAAATAGCTAGTTTTAATTGTATGAAAAAGAGGAAAAGAGGGTAAATTAAATTGAGAGGAATGCAAAGGGAGGAGAGAATGGTTCTTGAAAAGAAAAGGTTGAAATTGGGACATATATATATGGTAGGAAGATGCTAATTGATCATTATTACAAAAAAGAAAAGTGAATCACAATGGATTTTATCTTTTAACTAAGGGCATGATTAAACGCAGTCACCCCCCTGATTAGAGTATCCTCTATACTTTGTTAAATATATTTTCTTGACTGAGAAATAAAAATAATAACTAATATCTAGCCTAAAAATACTATATGTTGCCTTAGTTATTTGATCATAAATCATGACAAAGAAACATTTATTATTAATTGAAGTTTCATTTGGTGGGAAATTACTTATCAATCATTTAGATATAAAAAATTATTCATACAATATGATCTTATAATAAAGTCTCATAATTTTATTTATGAAAAAATATCTCCTAATTCTATGTTGCAATAATTATGATGACTATTTTCACTCAACAAAAT